CCACCCATCCATCCACCCATCCATCCACCCATCCATCCACCCATCCACCCATCCATCCTTTTTTCCCCTCTTAAATCAATGAATTTAATTTGTTTACAATGTTTGTTTTGTACTTGCTTCCATGCACAGTCTCCTTTCAAGTTGGCGCAAGGGATTATCAAGCTTTAATTTTACTTACGAAGCATTTTTAATCGATAGACATCGTTAGCCCATCCTCCACCAACACCATTAGCACAATTTCTTGCTTTACCATATATCGTATATCTAAGGTGAGCATTTTGATCAGAGAAGCACCACGATTTAGCCTGAATAGCGAATACTGCAAATGCTCGCCTTCTTGCCAAGTTTGCACAGGCTTTCACAGCTCCCCTGCCATGAACACGGCCGAGAACAATTCTTAGTGCTCTAACAGGCTTGTCCCGGTAGCAACCAATGTGGCGATATGCTTTATAAAGAAATAGATATTTTTAATTTATACTCACTCAAATGTAAGAACTGCGGAGTTTGAGAGAAAAAATCTGGACGAAACTGGCTAGTGCTTGCATTGAAGTGCATCAAGAGAATATGAAGTATTCATATTCTCTTCAGTGCATTATGCGGACGGTTTAAGTGATCGAAATAGACGCCATCTTTAAAATATTTTCCCTAGGAAGTCCAACAATGCACTGCACTTGACCCAGCTGTCTTCTTCAATATAATACAGTATAATGTGCCTTATTTATACCAGAGATTACAATAGAAAAAATATATAGATATAAATATATTTACAAAAGAATGGTAGAGGTTACCTAGAATAACTATAAAGCTAAACGAGCTAGGTAACACAAATGTCTGAAATTACAAATAGCTGTAATAGCTATTTTTTATTGTTAATTACGATCTGTTATATAATATATGAGTTAAGAATTTTTTGCATTCTCTTTGGCTGAGAGGACTGGTATTAGGCATTATTATGTCGAGGAAGGGACTGGAACCTAGGTTTCTCAAAACCAACGTAAATTCAAACATCACAGTAAGAATTGAGAATTTGATCAATCTTGATAAGAAAGTTATGATATTTTAACATTTTCAACGACAATAAAAACAAAAAACAAAAAGCAAACAAATGATGTATAGTTGAAAGGACATGTGTCACTATAATTGTCTTTTTTAACTTTTTCATGCATTGTTTTTTTTGTTTTTGTTTTTTATTTTTCCCGTCTATATTCTGCATTAAACTCATTATTCAATTATTCGAGTATTCAATTCATTAAATCACCTGAAATTGCTCTTTTAGCCACCATTGGAGCATCTTCACTGCCAGTCTGTAAAAGTTGATAAAATATTAAGTATTTATCAAGTAACGTATTGGCATACTTGAAGTTTAATTTGCGGTAATGMTTTTCATTTCAAACAGCCAATACAAATTGAAAAAAAAAATCTCTATGGTTTTTAACAATTATTCGCCGAAGGCAAAGTGGTTATTGGCATGATAAATGTTCACCATAATCACTGAGCCAGAGGGAAAGAATTGGCTTAGCAAAATTTTAGACTTGAATTTAAGAGAAAAGTCGAAATTCAGGATAAGAAACGTTTTAGTATTAAAGAGTTTTAGATTTACGTTCACGGCTAATGTGAAACGTCAGTTGACCAGTAAAAAAATCATTTTAAATTACTGAAAAAGAATCGCAAAAAGGTCCAAGTAGTAGAAAACCAAAAGAATATTTGCGCCTGGTGAGAAGGTTTGCAAAAGGTAAAGCAAAATACAGGAAAAGTATGAAAACGTGGTCACGTTTGCCTTTTGCGGGGAGAAAAAATGCCAATCTAAAACTCTCTATTACTTCCGTTCTGGGCATGGTAAACTTTGGGAAACCAGAATCACTGGTCACTCGACCAATCGCAGCGCGCGAAATCCTATATTCAAGTCTAAAATTATACTAACAATAATTATTGGTCTTTTAAATCATGAAAAAAATATATATTTCCATTGAGTGCGCTAAAAATATTTTTTTCGCGTGACGAAAACTTCAGTAGCCGCCATATTTGTTTTGGTGATCTGGCGCATGCGCATACGTCTTCCTTTATCACTATGAACCATACTTACTTCTGTTACTTCTTCAGCAAAGACTTGAAGGGCAACTACAAGAAGCCCAACGGCAATAAGTAGCTTCATGTTTTTTTCTGTGTGTGATTAAAAAATATTATATTCATATTTAACAAGTCATTAATAATTCAAGAGGAAAACACAATAGAAATCATGACCATGCTCTTTTACTCCGACGAAGGACTAGCGTCCGA